TATCCAAAAAATCTCAATGTCAGTTTGTAGTCTACACAGCTAATATTTGATGCATGCCTTATACAGCAACTTATATTAAAATTTGTATTAATTTATAATAAAGTTTTCTACATAAAATTGTGGTAATATAGTTTATTCTCTATAGTAGATTGTATAGTGTCTGCCAAAATTCATGTCCACCCAGATGCTCAGAATGTCACCATATTTGGAAACAGGGTCTTTGCAGATGTAATTAATTAAGGATCAAAATGAGACTGTGCTGGATTAGGGTGGGCCCTGAATCCAATAACTGGTGTCATTATAAGAAGAAGAGAGGACAAAGAGTCACACAGAAACAGACAGATAGGCAGGAAAAAAGATCTTGTGAAGATGCAGTCAGAGATCAGAGTGATTCAGAGTGATGCAGCGTAAGCCCAGTAACCTCAAGGACTTCTGGGGGGCACCAGAAACTGGAAGAAGCAAGGAAGGATTCTTCCTTAGAGGCTGCAGAAGGAGCATGGTGCTGACACCTTGATTTCAGGTATCTATACTCCAGAACCGTGAGAGAATAAATTTCTGTTGTTTTAAGCCACCAAGTGTGTGATACTTTGTACGTCAACATTAGGACACTAACACATCCTCTTTTACAGATAATTCTTAGAAAGTAAGGAGAGGGTGACTGAGGGGAGATGAGGGTGGAAGAATGGGAAGGGATGATAATTCCAACAGGCAATATTCCATGTGAAACTAATTCAGATATTATGCTATTAATTGTGTATCATTTTTTTCTGAATTATTAAGAGGACCTCCTTCTGTTTTTTAAATTCCATCTCCTCCAATTGCCACAAAGATTTTTCTTTACCAGTTGATCCATCTCAAATCTTCAATTTTGCTTTCTTTACCGTGTCTTTGTCTTTGGGCTTTAAAATAAATACTCTAGTATCTTTTGTCCCAAGAGAAAACAAACAAAGACAAACATTATCTCTGATTTATACCCTGCTTTGGCTGTCATCCTATGTATTTCTGTTTCTTCTCAGCCAGGATTATTGAAATAGAAAATTTATTTCCCAATTTTACTAATTCCTTCCTCCCTGCAATCTGATTTAAACCCCTGTACTCTAGATATAAGTACATATTAACAAAAAACTTTCCCTCTGACAATATCAACAGTTCTCTTAAACAACAGTTCTCTAAAGCATCTTATCTACACTAAATTTAGAATAAAATAAAATCTGTCTTCCAAGGTTTTGGTACTTAAAGATAATGTATAAAGACTTAATCAACTAAGCCACAAGAAAGAATAACTGGTGGTTACAAATTAAAAGATGAAGAGAAATTAAGATATATTTTTTGATAAACTAAGGTTTTTGAAACCCTAAAAGCCAAATGAAATAGTTTAATAATATAGAAAAAAGAGAGTAAAATATTAATAAATGCTATCCAATTGATCCAGAATTGTTTTTTTAAGGATTAAAAAACAACATGCCTTTAACCCGCATTTGGGCGAGGCAAAGACATAAAGTGTAACTACAATGTTTGTACCCTCACAAAACCCTGGAATAAAAAAAAAAAATTGTTTAAAAAAAATATGATAATTGCTTAAAAATTCTTGCCATGTAGGGGGACATGGTATGTCTCTCACTTTATACAGGTCTTATTTTTTTCTATTAAATGAAATGTTATGGTTTTTCTCAAAAAAAAAAAAAGACTTTCAGCAAATCAAAAAAAAAAAAAAAACAACTGGAATCTGCAGGATGAAGATTGCAAAAACTGATTCTAATATATTAAGTTCAAATGAAATCCAATGATGCTCATGAAAATATTATGAACTAATAATTCTCTTATTTAGAGAAACTGAAAGATGGAAATTAACTGACAAGCCACATAATATTCACTCAATGGATCAGTAGAGTCACATTACATACACATTTAACTTACATGAATTCAATTCTATACCAGACAAAAATAAAATAATTTAATATCACATGACTTGTAAGAAACACAGCTGGCTCATTTGGAATTATCTGAAGAAACTGTCATCTGTTCTTACCTTGGAGGAAAAAATGTCCCTGTTACACTTATTCAGAAAAAATATGGTGTACGCAAAATCTTGTAGATTGTCTTTCCAGCTGGTTTAATTTATTTGCATGGGTAATGTCAATTATATGTGGCTTTCTCTTTACATAATGACTTCAGAACTTTAACTTCTACGGAAAACGCAATCCCAATGAATGAACTGAGTATATTTGACAGATAGTGTGCTAAATGATTTAAAAGTCAAGTTCTAAGACTGCCTGCATATAAAAGATATAGAAGGAGGAATGATTATAATTTGGGATAAATGACAAGAAAAGAGAAAAACGTGAGACATGTGATGAAGTGATACTGAAAAGTAATAAAAAATAGCTCAATGTGACAACAGAAGGAAATTATGGAAAAGTGAGAATGAGAGAAAGCAGAAGTAAAATAGGAATTGTATTTGCAGAGACCTAGTCACTATTTCTTGATCATCTCACATCAAAGAGATAAAAGTAGGGATAGGAAAAAGTCAATGGTCAGCATTTATTTAATTCCAATACCCTACTCCCAGAAAATTGTAAGGAATCATTAGATGACTGGATAACCACTGGAGATGTAAAACCCAAAATATTTATTTTCATGCTTTAACTAAATAATACAAATAATTATTTTATTTTAGCCATGTTATTTTTAAGACCCTAGTCCAATCCAATAATCCAGGTCATTTTATCTTTTTGGGAGGAGTGGGAGATGTTTTATATGAATGTGAACAAGAAGAAGAATATTGTGTGTATGTGAACCTGCGTGTGTGACTTACTATGTATTATTATGCTGATCACTTACATACTTATATTATTCAACTATAAAATAATCTTATGAGGTAGATATTTATAAAAGTTATTTTAGAGATGAGAAAAATGCTGACGATGTTAGCTGTCCAGTGGAAAAAAGCAAGTAAATTGTTGAGTTGAGCCTGAACCCAGAAACCTGACTTTGAACCTGGCATTCTTTAACCCAGTGATATGGAGCAGGAACTCTATGAGACATACTTTATTTATATAATCTCATTTCTCAAAACAACTCTGCTCTGCAGACATAATGATTCTCATTTTACCAATAAAGACACTGAGTCCCAAAGAGATTATGTAACTTGTCCAAAGACAGATAGTTAAGATGTGACACGGCTGAAGTTAGAATTCAAGTGTTTAAATTTATTTATAATTTGACATAAAGAATGATGTAACATTTATAAAATAAAATCAGTTTCCTTCCTAATAATCAAAGTAAACGTATTCTTATCAACAACAAAAACCAAGAAGAATTGTTTCAAAAAAAAAATAAGAACGCTTAGTTTTAAAAACCAACACTTATTGGCCTAATATAGCATTATGTTTTTACATTAAGACGATTAAATTTAATTTACATTAACCCTGCCAAAATAAAGATTCCATTCTTTAGGAATCTTTTAATTTACTTTTATTTTAATCAGTCCTTTTTCTTCTCTTTTTGAGCATACGTAGGCTACAGTAAAATATCTCCAGGGTGAACAGTATGTCTATGTGCCGGGAAATGTGATGGTTAATTTTCCTCTTTTTCATTCTTTTGTCCACATGGCATCTCAAGAATAGAGTATATATAACAAATAAGTGAATTCCAAAAAGAACTCAGAGAGCCAGGCGGTTTTCTGGACAATCATTGTTAGGATTCTGTCAGCAACTATGTAACATTTTTGGCATCTGGGGAACATAAACCTCTCTAGCAAAGGGAGGACTCAAAAAGATAAAAAATAAACACAATTAAGTGGATGATGTTTTTCTTTCTAAACTGGCACTTTCTTCACTATCAAAGAGCTCAACTTTGATTCAACCAATCAATATAGTAGGGGAAAGAAATACAGAAGACTAAAGAAGCAGACACCTTACTAATGCTGGCATCATCATTCTATTTCAATGTTAAAAGGTTTAACACTTCACTTCTGATGACAATGCTCTCAAGTAAGTTGGGGATCTTGAACTTGTTTCAGAGGGGAGAAAAGGAGGATACATAGGTAGTATCTGGTTATAAGAAATTGGACTGGAAGCATCAGCTTATTTTATATACCAGTGGTAGAAATGTTGAGTCAAGATGTTATCCAACAATCTCTAATGATAAAATCCATGTCCTTCTGCTGAAATATTGAGTCATTCAGACCCAGACATTCATTATAGCTATAAGAAATCGATGTAACACAATGCTGTAAATCTAAATTGTAGAAGTCTATGAACTTTCATCCTCTCTCTCCTACTTTACTGCTCACTAAATTTCCCTTGCCTATCCATCCATGAACAGAGCTTAATCTGAGTTAAACCCAGCTGGATCTCAGATCCAAAACCTTTAGAAGCCAGATAAGTGACTTCTAAGACTTGTGATCAGGGAGATGTGAAGGCAGCAAAGGACACATTGTCTTCTTAGTGCCAATGCAGAACAGACTGTCAGGTTGACAAGATGAGCTGAAATATCCCTTGCTATGTTTTTATATTCATTGCTGTCTCCAAAACTAGATGCTCAAAACCAAAATCTCTTCTTTCTGGAAATGTGTTAATAAACAATACACTGATATGACTGTTTTGTAAATACTTTTGTTATTGTAATAGTTATATATTTGACTTTATGCATATTTTGCACAGCACACTTGGCTTTATGCTTTGATAATTTCTCATTTTATATAATTCCAATATGAAGGCACTTGCAAGGTTACTGGATGTACTTATTTTTAAAAATTAAAAACAATCCTGTTTTCATTTTTATATTGTTGTTCACCTGTGTACTTGACTGTAAATTCTGATTGAGTAAAGTGGCCTCAAAATTTTATTATTACAAACCTACCATCTAAAAAGAACTGCAGAGTAAATTACTTTACAGATAGTAGATATTTTCATTAAAAAATTTCAAATAGCATATAGTGAAAAATAAAGCATGCCTGGAATAAAATACTACTACATGATGAGATGAATCTTACTTACCAAACTCTTTGGGAACTGCTATAGAGTAAACACAATTATGTCCCACACTGTAATTTTTTGGGTAGTTTGGTGATAGAACAGTGCCTTCTGAACCTGTTGAACGACTTCCACAAGGTGCTAGGAAATAAAAATGACAAAAATACAATTTTTAGAAAAATATTTACAAATTCATACTATGATTATCTTCCTATATAAAAAATTTATGGCTAGTGGATATTAAGGTGTATAATTTATTTGCATCTTCTAACAAAATCCTACAGTGTTAAATATTTTATAAATAAAAAAATTGTGCACATACAAAACTTCGTAAATATTCAAGTTTACTGTTCTCAGAAGCAAAGTATATAATACAATACTGTTATAATGATATTACCTCTAAAGGTAATAATGGTGGCCTTGCTTTCAATTATGATAGGAGTGTGAAATTAATCATCACTTTTATTATGATGAAAAATTACATATGCAAGTGGGATATTGTTTTACTTGCTGCCAGGCTTTGAAACTCTACTCAAATTCAATTCTATAATGCTGTCATAAAATTAAGCATATCTATATGTGGGACATGAAGGGCTGTACAAATACATCCACCCACTCATCTAAGTATTCTCACCAATCTTTATCTGTTTATATAATTTTTATTGAAATCAGAGATGTTACTGATGATGCCTTGAGACCTCAGGCCCAAATGTGGTATATTCATAAAAAGGATGAGAGTGAAACATTGTTTCTGGTAAATTTGTAGATGGTGTTTACATTATTCATAAGATAGGGAACACATTAGGATTCATAGCTCTGGCACCCAGAGAGAAACTGGAGCTTCTAATGGAGATTTAGGAATTCAAAGCATAGGCATGATAGGTGATATTCCTTAAGCCAATGAGATCACTCAGAAAAGTATGCAGAATGACAAAAGGTGGGCAAAGAGGAGGTTCTGGGAAACACCAAAGCTTCAAGATCAAGTAAAGAGAGGTGGCTATGGAGAAATGAGTCTCTTGGGAGCCAAGGAAGAAGAGCTTCAATGAAAAGAAAGTGTTTAAAGGGTTAAATGTTGCGAACTGGTTAATACATGAAAAAGGAGTCTGGGTTAATTTGGCAATCTGGTGTGTAAGGCAATGGGGTTCTTCTTACCCAGGCTTATGGTTTGAATGAGGAGGGATTTTTCCTAAATATGCCAGCCCGCTGGCCCTGCCCCTTCCCCCTTGGCAGCGGAAGTTTTCTGCTTAGTGATCCCTGGACAAGAACTTCTACCTTTTTTCCAGCTGGGAGCTTTCTGCCTGCAGAGCTCACTTACTCATATGCCTTTCTACATTGTAAGTTTTTCAGGGCACCTTCCAATGGCAGGGCTGTACCTATCGCGAGCAGCTAGTAGGAAGCCCATTGTTTACTGCTCCTCATCTTTTATCAGCATTAAAGCTGACGGTTTGATTTCCTTCAGCGTGTTTCTTCATCAGCTTTGAACTTGTGCAGGAAGGACAGGGCATAATTTACTATTCCCCTCAAATACCAAAATGGAGGTTTTGGTGTTATTAACACTGCAGTTTCAACTAGAGCAGCTCTGTGAAAGTTACAGCCAGCAGGTCAAATCCAGCCCGTGGACCAACAAGGTTTTAACATTTTTAAAGAGTTACAAACAAAACAAAAACTACAGAATGTGCCACATATATATTATGTGGCCAGTAAAACCCAAAATACTATTTATTCCTTTACAGCAGCAGTCCTCACCTTTTTGGCACCAGGGACCAGTTCCATGCAAGACAATTTTTCCATGGACTGGGGGGTGGGGATGGTTTCAGGATAATTCAATCGCATTACATTTATTATGAACTTTATTTCTATTATGATTACATTGTCACTTGCCACTCACTGATAGAGTTTTGATATGAGTATGCAAGCAATTGATTTATTATGGTCTCCACGCAGTCAAACCTCTCTGCTAATGATGTGTATTTGCAGCCACTACCTGGTGCTAGCATCACCATCTCAGCTCCGGCTCCGATCATCAGGCATTAGATTCTCATAAGGAGGGTGACACCTAGCTCTCTTGCATGCTCAGCTTACAGTAGGGTTTGTGCTCCTGTGACAGTCTAATGCTGCTGCTGATTTGACAGCAGGCGGAGCTCAGGGAGTAATGTGAGTGATGGGGAGCTGATGGGGAGTGGCTGTAAATACAGATGAAGCTTCCCTCTGCTCACCTCCTGCTGTGCAGCCCAGTTGCTTACAGGCCAAGGACTGGGTACTGTTCCACAGCCCCGGATGTTTATAGAAAACATAGACCACAGCTTTATAGAAAAAAGGTTTATAAACCACAGCTTTATAGAAAAAGTTTGCCAAACCCTGAACTAGAGTAGAGGGGGGAAGTTAAATTATAGTTGGATAAAGAGTAAGTGGTATATAAAGAAGTACAAAAGTAGTCAGAATCTTGACCATAAATAGGAGGGGAATGTAGAGAGTAGTTGAGGGGAGATGAAAGCTGAGTGTTTTGTTTTTTTTTTATTTAATGGGGAGGAAGGAATCATTACAAAGGGAAAATCAGGAGCATTGACCTAAAGATTAAGATCAAGAACAAAAGTGGAGTGATTACCTTTAGACATCAATAGTCACACTCCTCTCTGACTTGAGAAAAGGGCTGAAGGAGACTAGATATAGATAGGTTAGGTTCTTTTTTTTTTTTTGAGACAAAGTCTCGCTTTGTTTCCCGGGCTAGAGTGAGTGCCGTGGCGTCAGCCTAGCTCACAGCAACCTCAAACTCCTGGGCTCAAGAGATCCTACTGCCTCAGCCTCCCGAGTAGCTGGGACTACAGGCATGCGCCACCATGCCCGGTTAATTTTTTCTATATACATTTTTAGTTGTCCAGATCATTTCTTTCTATTTTTTTAGCAGAGACGGGGGTCTCGCTCTTGCTCAGGCTGGTCTCGAACTCCTGACCTTGAGCGATCCACCTGCCTCGGCCTCCCAGAGTGCTAGGATTACAGGCGTGAGCCACCGCGCCCGGCCAAGATAGGTTAGGTTTTATATTGGAAATTTATTGGGGTTAATGTCTGATTTTCGTTTTAGAGTACTTACTCTTTAAAGTAGTGTTGTGGTGGATGTAGTGATGCGTTAGGTCCCTTGGGAAGAAGCAAGACAGTTTGAAAAAGTCGAAACTGTTGATGGATTCCTGACCAAAGTTTAAAAATATAACAATACAGTATATTTAAATACACACACACACACACACGCAAGCATGCACAGCACACAGTATGTTGTATTGAGTGGCTAACGAATGTTCTGCCTTTTTTTCTTTAATGTTCTATAAAAGAGTAATAAACAGTTAGAATTAAACATACTAAAATTAGAACTCTCTAGAAACAACAACAAATTGACAGTGATGATAATAACCATAGAAGCATCACTCTCATCACTCATTATTGTTTGAGATTAGAGTAGTCAGGTGTATTCTTATTTCAGCACTGATAACTTTATTCAACTGATAATGTTACTGATGAGAGAATCATTCAAGAATTAGTAGTCTGTTTTACATTAATTTTCTTTCTGATTTTAAGGTGCTCCAAAACTAAAATAACAATATTTTGAATGAACATGACGAAAACTCTTATTTTTATATTTGGAAAATACGAATAAAAATGAGACCTTCTAACTCAAGTTCAGTTGTATGACTTAGTCATGAAAATTCTGCCATCCCACATTAACATGTGTCTGACAGCCTCAATTTGTTTCATATATTTAATTTTGCATAGTGGACATTTAGGACAGATTTTGTTGAAAACCTTATTTAGTAAGTATGAAGGCTATTTTTTTTAACCATGAATATGTATGAAGTTGCAGTTTAATCACATGTCCTTACGGTAACTAATACTATGTTAGATTCTGTTATTTGTACTGAAAGCCATAATTTTATGTTTCTTCTCGTTGGTGCCTGCAGCATGGCCTAATTTATAATTCAACAATGCAAAATATTATAGTAGCTGACAATATTCATGCAATATGTTATTAATATAAATAAGGGAAAATTATGCTCTGTGATATAAATGTGTTGTAATATGTTTTATGTTTATAAAATACAAATGGAATAAAGACTAGGTCAAGCTAACTTTAGTGATTCTCCTAATATTCGTCTCCAGAAGCTTTTCATATTCTTGCTTTCTGTTTTAATGTCATCTTATTGGCTAGTGTAGAAGACAGCACTCTTTTATCTTTTTAGTTTTCAACTAATAGGTAGAAGATAAAGCAAGCCATGACTGAATTCTATGCCTATTTTTGCTATTTAACATCTACCATATATACTTGTGTGCCTTTTGTCAAACTGGCTATTGTTTCTCTAAACAGCCTATATCCATCCTAATATAGTAAACATAAGAATTCAACTATTTCTGATTATAACTTATATGGTACACAAATTTATGTTTTTAATAGCATGCTAATAGAACATATGAATTGTGAGAAGACATGGTTCTATGATTAAATGCGGGAAATACATGGGTGAAACAAACAGGGTACTATAGAACTTGAGACTTCAGTGAGGTTTGGGGGAGAGAATGCCCTTTCTCACAAACATTTGACTATGGCAAAATTTTTCCATGTAACATCTCATAGGACCAGTGTTCCTGAGAACACACTTGTAAAATGCCAAATCGATGATTCTAAAATGTGTTACCATTTTGACAATAATTCTAATGTTTACGTAATTGAAAGTAATTAATTATGATTTTTGCAGCACTAAAGAACTATGTTTTATGTATATGTATACCTATAGAGCCAAGTTATGTTAAAAATTTAAAATGTCAGACTTAGCCTTCTTATAAAATGCCGTTATTCTTGACTCCCTCTCCCTGATTCGTGAGGTCCAATACAGCATTGATTTATTGATTATACTCTTATGTATTAATAGCTTATCTGCTTCTATCTTCTTTGCCTCTGTAACTGGCACAATCCAAGCTCCCAATAGTTTCTTATATGGGTTTTTCCAATAGAATCCCAGCTTTACTCATCACCACAGCTTATAACACTGCAAGGGATTTTCCTAACACACACATCTCACTATGTTTCTCCGTTCTTCCTAGGACAGTGTCTGCACACGGTAGGTTCTCCATAAATGTCTTTTTAATGATTAAACGAA